CAGGGATGGACTAAAAGTCCTAAAAGGGTGAGTAACACAAATTATAGGGAAGGGGGCCCTACCTTTAATAGTCCTAAGGGGAAAAAAAGGAAAAATAACAGGCAAGGGAGAGACAAGGAGGTAGATGTATAATGAGTATACTTAAATACCAATACAAATATCTATAGATATTCAGTTAGATTAGCTAGGAGAAACCATAGCTATGAGTGAAGTCTAAGCTTACACTATACAATTACCCAGCTAATAAGCAGAACCCAGGTATATCCACAGGTGGAGGACATGAGAGCTAGGATAAGGAGCCAAACCTCAAACGAGTATCAACAGCAGCCCCAAACCAAAACTCTGTCCCTAAATCACCTCGGCACTGTGGACTCTCCAATAGTGCTTACCTGAACCTCTCTTCCTTCCTGATCTTAATAGTAAAGGAGGAAAAAGATAATTGAATAAACCTTTAATAAATTAGTGCATATCAGTGCTACCAAGTGATAAAGTGTAAAAACAAAAACATAGCTCAAGGTAGGAATTTGAAGGACACTTTAGTACAAAGCCACCTTGCCCCTTTGAAAAAAACATCTAAATATTATTTAAGGGCACATACAAATGCGGACATTGTAGTACATGTGAACATATAGCAAAAAACTCTAAACAATTCACTGACAGCAATGGAGAGGAAACGTTTCTGGTTCGCTCTTTTTTCAACTGCTGGTCGGAGGGAGTGATCTATCTAATCACCTGCTCCTGTGGAATAAAATATATTGGCAAAACTTTTCGGCCTTTTAAACTCAGGATCAGGGAACATGATAACTCCGAAAGAAGACCCCTAGAGACTCCAGTTTTCCGCCATTTAAAAATACATCATGCAAATTCCTCAAATAAATTAAGGTTCATGGGAATAGAACATATCCCACAAACCCAACGTAAAGGCGATTGGGATCAAAAGACTGAGACAGCAAGAATTTTATTGGATTTACAAACTGAGGACCCTCTCCCCACAGGGACTAAATGAGGGCTTCTTCTCAGCTTTCCTATAGCCTCTATGGCTCTTGTTATTAGATGAAAGAAGAGATACTCTTACGCTAGTCCCATTGTAAGATAGTGGTAATTTGTAAATAGTTTGATAATTTCATTATTGATTTATATTGATCTTTTTTACACACTGGCACACCCGCTATATGTCTGAATATCTCCGTTCCATTATTCTTATCTTTTCTTTGAATAAGTTACATCAGAGACGTAGAATAAAAAGTTTGGGATTTCTGTGCTACGGTACCTATGAGAGAATGTAGAGTTCTATTTAAAGACATATATCATGTATAATAATAACCTCCTTAAGGTCACATAGACCCAGGGCCTAAACTGAGACTCCTTAATTCTGAGTGAGAACAAGGGTGCTATAACCCTCTGTTCTGTCTATACATCTCAGAGTAAGGAATAAGTAATAATCTTTAGTGACCCTTAGGGTACCTGATATATGCCTAGGTAAGTTTCTGTGCAGTTTTATGCTACTTTTAAAATTTAGAATATGTTGCATTTAAAGAACCAGAAAATAAATCTGGGCAGATGCCTAGATAAGATCACCGCATTAATTTCACTATACTTACCATATACCTTTGAACACTTACCTCAAATGCTATATAATAACTCTCAAGATTACTAGGAACATAACTAAATACAGTGAATTTTCTGGTAATTATCCGTGACAAACACCCATAATGAGAGTGAATAAGAGATATGATTAGAATGTATATAATAGCAGAGAGGAAGAACCTCTGTCTTTAATTTTATCTCTATTTGAAGTAATCGAGCTTGTATAAGGGGGAGGAATACTTTGCTGTCTGACACACCTAACGAATATAGTGTAACTATCTCCCAGCCGGTGTAAATAGATGAGTGAGCACATACTTGCATACCTGCCCCAGGTGGGCATATCCCAATAAGGATGGAGGGGTGGTACCTCTTGTATTCCCTGATTGACAGTCACACAACCCAGTGTACTCTGTACGGCCAATGAGATTTAAGGAGGAAGTATACATCACGATCATGAGATAGTAAGATCCACACCCCCCTCTGCACAACAGCCAACACTTGATGGCTAATTGCCAACTTTAAGACATAAACGGATAGCTGAGCCAGTTCACAGACACTGCTCCTGACGACGGCATGCTAACACGCATAAACACACGATGAGCTATTTTTTTTTATTTTACACTTTATCACTTGGTAGCACTAATTTTTTTAAGGTTTAGTTATCTTTTTCCTCTTTTACTATTAAGATCATCATGGGAGAGAGGTTCAGGTAGGCACTTGTGGACAGTCCACGGTGATCTAGGGACAGATCTACTAATCTGAGTTTTGGTTTGGGGCTGCTATTGATATTCATTTGAGGTCTGGCTCCTTATCCTAGCCCTCACGTCCTCCACCTTTGGATATACGTGGGTTCTGCTTATTAGCTGGGTAATTGTATAGTGTAAGCTTAGACTTCACTCATATCTAATCTAACTGTATATCTATAGTTATGTAGGTGTTTAGTATTTAAGTATACTCATTATACACCTACCTCCTAGTCTCTCCCTTGCCGGTTATTTAAAAAAAATTTCTTTAGGACTATTAACTCCTTAAGGACACATGACATGTCATGATTCCCTTTTATTCCAGAAGTTTGGTCCTTAAGGGGTTAAAGTTAGGGCCCCCCTTCCTTATAATTTGTGTCACTCTCCCTTTTAGTCCATCCCTGTCTATTTAATGACAGGGGTGACTGAGGTTAACAAGCAGCACACGGTTGGTCTGTTAGTTCGTAGGTTTGTTCAGTATTCAAACAAAATACAATTGAAGGCGAACATGGTAAACCGAACCACCATGAGAATGGAAGAGAGCTTTAATAATCCAGGGACAGGGTAGTCTGTCACATTGCTTCCCTCTTGTGGGACACTTTGGCAGACCCAGTTTTACCTTTTTCAGGTCAACTTCAGGATGCCTGGATTTGGCTTAGTTGGTGATCTGTTTGTCGGGAGAACCCATCGGCATTGCTGTTCTGCTTACCGGGCCAGTAGTGGATGATAAAGTTTTACAGCTGCAGGGCCAAACTCCACCGCAGCAGGTTGCCATTATCACCCGTGACCTGGTTAAGCTATACCAACGGGTTGTGGTCAGTAATCAAAGTAAATTCCTGTCTGCCCAAATAAGGAGTCAGTTTCTTCAAAGCCCAAACCAACACCAAGCATTCCTTCTCGACTACTGCATAGCTCACCTGCCGGGGTAAAGTTTTCTGCCAAGATACGCAACAAGGTGTTCTCCATCTTCCCTGACTTAACCTCCAATTGTCCCCAGTCCAAACATGGAAGCCTCTGTGTGGACAATAAAACGTTTGTTAGGGACTAGGGCAGCCAAGACAGAGGCATTAATTAGGGCTTATTTTAGTGACTGAAAGTGGCTTCATATGGACCTGCCTAGGTAAGCTTTTTTGTCAGGTCAGTCAGGGGCTTGGTGATAGTACTATAGTTGGGTACAAAGCGCCTATAGTATCCAGCTGTCCCTAAAATGGGCAGTACCTGGGTCTTGGTGCATGGTGTGGGCCAGTTAGGGACTGCCTCAATCTTAACCCACAAACTCCAAAAAAAAAAAAAAACCCACACAGACGAAACAACAAAAGCAGGAAGTGTTCACTGTATCACTATAGCACCATAGCAACAGAATTCAGAGAGATGCTACCTCTCTAAATACAGGACTAGCAAAAGTTCAGCTGGGATGAATAAAGCCTTAGATGAGCCCTTCAATACAGAGGAGAGGATAATTAGATTGTTGCCGCCTGGGAAAATCCCAGGTCTGGACGGGCTAATGGCCCGATATTGCAAAGTCTTAAGGGATCTACAGGACAAACTTCTTAAACACCTTTAACTAGCTGCTGGCCCCCCCATGGGTCCACTTTGATCATTTGGGGGATTGTGCTGGGAATGCACACTAAAGTCAGTCAGTGATACACTCCGCCAAGAGCCCTAAAATGTTAATATTGAAGAAGTCCTCTCATTTTGGAGGCTTTGTGGCTTGGGACAATATTCCACAGTTGGGTTCAAACTCTATTAAGGCTTCTTGGCCTGCGTGAGGTTAAGTGGGCAGTTGTCACCATCCATTGCAATTGGCAGCAGAACCAGGCAGATATGCCTCCTAACCTCAGTGCTCTTTATATTTGCTATAGAACCCTATGAGTGCCAGTCGGATGAGTTCACAGATCAAAGGGTTCCTTTATTCATGCGATGAGGAAAAGAGGTTTTGGCCTTTGCAGATGATGTCTGCTTCACCATCACAGATCCAGTTACCTCACTAAAGGAGATTAAACTTTGTTCATTCTCCAACTTTAAAATGAATGCAGATAAGGGAGATTCTTTGATCCCGGGATTGAAATCCCATTTGAAAGCAATTTAGTTACAAATGGTTCGTTTGGAAGCTGGAGAACTTGTGTTCTATTGACTATGGCACCCTTTAGCCTTTACAAATGTTACTAAACCCCCTCCCAGTTGCTAGAGGAGAGCATAGTCAACCAATATGATATGCATATAGAACTATTGCCAAGTACCTGCACTGTGTTTACCACTAACCGACCCAGTTAGACAAAGTCACTGTATTTGTGGTACCTTTGGGTATCATTTATAGGACTACACACTGGAAGTAGAGCAGTGAGATCTGGAGTAGACAGTGGGCTTTAATTGCACACTTGGTATAAGCGTGGTGAGCTGTGCTGATGGACAAGCTATGTGCACTCATTGAGTGCCTTGTGGAAGTCAGGAATGCTATAGAGTTAATAAGGAAGCCACGGAATCAGACAGATATGCAGAACAGAATTTTACAATATTGTTTATTTTTACACCAAGACAGAATATGAAATGCCTGTAGCTTATACAATTCCAATTACACCACGAGAGGCATTCTGTACAATTTGATTTGTCTGTAAGACATTTATCCACAGGACACATTTCACGCAGAGGATTGCACAGGATCCATCCATCTCATGGTTTGTAGTCTTCCTGGGTGACCATCAGGTTATAGTGAGTGACCCCTTTCCACATTCCCTGGATGGTGGTCTCATAACCAAACAAGGTGCGGATCTTGGCACAGAACGGTACGTCCATTTCTCCCTTGGTCACAGATGCCACCATACGTATTGAATGTCCACCTGGTACCTCCACATCAGAGCTGGATGAGAAGGAAGTCTGCAGAAGAAAGAAGGTGAAGTAATGGGGAAAACTTGAAACCTGCAGGTTTCAACCAGCCACTCTCAGCTGGACTGCACCACAATAAGGTTAAGTGAGAGATTAGAAAGGCACACAGGATTTTGTTGTGTGGTGCTTATTGAAGCCTTCTAGGCCCCAGGGAGAGTGTGCAGCTTAGCTGACAGGGGCACATGTATGCGTGTGGGATGGATGATGCATGATTGGCTATGCTACATGTGGGAGTGTGAGATGCGAGTGGTAAAAGATTAGACTGACCTCAGTGCCACCTAGGAGCCAGGCCAGCAACACGTTTCCTGCCCACCCTCCCTTTGCTGCTTTGGGCCCAGGGGGTTGTCAGTGAGGCAGGGGGGTGTCCTTGCCAAATAAAGGATGAAAGAGGGGGATAATGGGCAGGTCTCATCCTCCCCCTGTCTCTTACGGTGAACCTGGAGGAGATACCAGGTTGGACGTGTTCCCACTGCGTTGTAAGTTGACCAGTGGGGAGCATTATGGTTGGGCCCCACTGAGTCGGTGGTGAGCCCTGAAAAGGAAGATGTATTTATTATGATGGGGGGTGGAAAGGTGAGAGCCTTGGGGAAATTAGATTGGCAAGGATGGTTTCTTTGGTTACTGTATGACTATATGCAAATTGTTTATGTTATTTCATTATATGTTCAATGAGTCACAGTATTTGGTTGTGTTAATAAATGCGGTGGCCTGTTTTCTCCAAGAAGTTGTCTGTCGTTATTTGAAGGGGTAAATTATGGTTTTATGGGGGATGAAAGGAATGCTATCCAATACCCACTATGCACATACATGCCCCTGGCTACAATAAAGACACTAGACACCAAAGCTGTAGCTTTGTGAAGCTATTTGTGTATAGATCATGCCTCTGCAGTCTTACTGCTCAGTTATGCAGTTTTGGAGTTCATGTATGTAGTGGGGAATTACGATGCCACATAAACATAAATAACCCCCCCAACCCAATAACAGACAACTTAGTATGGATGAACAGGCCACAGCATTTATTATAACAAATAAATTACTGCATAACACATCCATAGCTTTATTAAACTCTTTCTGTAACCAAATTGTTATAAATAAATCATAAATTAACATATATACATATAATAACTCAAACATAGTGCTATGCAGCGACCCAACCGTCCTTGCCAATAAACATACAGTGGTTTCTAGTCACCACTTACTCTCACCTCCCCCAGTCATAAAAATATCCTTCCAATGCCCGCCATCAGCCGACCTTATCCACGCTTGATGGGCACGACACCTCAGGCAACCTAATGTTAACCTTTTAATGCAGGTGAGGTTAACATTAGGTTGCCCCAGGGCCTATCACTTTGTTTAGGCAGCCTTAAATCACACCTCCCTGCATGTGATCTGCACAGACTTCCAAAACAATTCATGAAAGAGCCTAGATATTACAGATTCCTTTATTGCACAGAAGGATTAATCTAAAATTCATCATCTCCTGCTCGGTTAATATCTTCCTAGATACTACAATAGCCATGTGTGAATACAGTTCAGTGAAGAAAACAGGAGATCAGATTTTAGATGCCAAGTAAGCCTGATTGAAAGTTAAGCCATTTCACCATTCAGGCTGTCACAGTCAGGAGTTAGGGCGAGAAACAAAAAAGGTTTAAGAGAATTGAGCACCGAGACTGGAGGGGCATGATCTATACACCAGAACTGCCTCATTAAGCACACATTGTTTTAATGCTTAGAATATCCCATTAGGAAAGCTAACTTAACACTGCAGCAGGCTACAAGTTAACCAGTTCAGAGTAGAGAGGTAGTGTTTTTAGAGGAGGTTGGGCAAGAGGGTACACTGAACCGGGCCGGTACCATTAAGCTATTTGTTAACAGCTAGCTGCCTTGTTATTGGAGTGGCAGTAACAGGCCCCACATCTACCAACCCAGGCTACCTATAACCAGTGGGACTGTTGCTTTAGAAGCAGATACAAGTCATACATGGAGAGCCACTAGCAGAAAATGGAAACCAGTTGAAGAATTACCCTCATAGCCGTGTGACTTTACTGTAAGCAACAAACCAAGACTAATGCAGAGAAGCTCTTCTCACTCTCATTATACAAGCCATGCTTACCTGTGTAGTGTTGGTTGTGGTGAACTTCCAGGTATGAGTTGTGCTCACATTGATGGAAATCTTGGTCTCCATTTCTCCTATGAATGGGACGCCAGCTTTAAACGACATCTCTGCTCCAACAGCCACCGTGAATCCATGTTCCTGGCTGAAGGTGCTGCTCTCAGTTATGGTTTTTGAGAAGCTAGAGAGAAAAAAAAAAAAAAAACCCCTTCACATTAATATATTGAGAGACAGGACTACGGCTAGTCGTGCCCAAATCTAGTTTGTAAGAGATGTTTGCCAAGAATGTGCCTTGGTAATTACAAAGAAGAGACCCAAACTATTTTGATCTGTAAAATCTCAACCTTTGTTTGCTTAAAGAGTCCAAAAACAAAGAAATTATAGATGTTCCATTGGCTTCTGGAATTCATGTACCCATTAATCCAGGTTGAGCAGATGGCTCAATAATGAGAGTGCAACATAAATACCAAGTTAATGACAAATCCATTAAAATGCTGAAAAGAAAGCCAACCATCTGATATTTAGTAGAAGAGTCCTTACTTAAAAAAAAAACAAAAACCCACACACCACAGTTTTGGCCACTTGGACTCTTCCAAGATATAATTACATGAATTGCACAGGTCTATTGACCCAGTTCTCCAGCTACTTTGTTCAGTATTGACCACATGTGGGATATTACTAAATTTATGTACTGTTACAGATCCTTTCTATCCACCACCTGGAGCCAAGTACTCTGTACAGCAGGCATTTACCTCACTGACACCACAGAACGAACAAACATTGCCAACAAGCAGAAGTATTAGAGGCAGCACAATAAAGTTTCCATTACTTACGAGAAGGTGTGCTTTAAGGGAGTGCTGCTCTTGTTGTTATAGATCTGGGTCTGCACCACCTCTGTGCCTTGGGACAGGATTTTCCCTGAATCTGGCAAGAATTCAAAGCTTACAATACTCTGCATGGTTTTATCAATGGTGAAGGAAAGGAGGGGGTAGACATTGTAACCCCAGCCCAGTTTCTCTGCCTTTTCAATATAGTTGGTATCAGCAGTGGTCGGAACTGGTCCTTTATAGATGCTGCCATTCTTTGAATCCACACACCACAGGTCTGACTCTAGGGTGAAAGCCATGAAATGGGTCAGGATGCGCCAGCCTCCTTTTCCAATGGTTTTGCTGGAGCCAAGCCAGTTATCGTCTGGTTTGGTTGGAGGGCTTCTCGTCACAAGCTTGTCATCACTTGTCACTGCGTACAGGATGCCTTTAGGGTCAAAGAAGAGGGCATCAAATGTATTCCAGCCAGCAGTTCCTATTTTGGTGGCTTGGCCATAAAGCCAGGACACGTTTTCATTGCTTGGTGCTGGACCCTTGTAGAACTCCCCTTTCTTGGTAGCTGCATACAGAAGGCCATTTGGATCAAAGAAGAGAAATTTAAACCCATCCCAGTCGGTTTTGCCCACTCTTTTTGCAGTCGAGAACCAGTCCAGGTTTGGATTTGAAGGCATAGCTCCCATGAAAAGCTCTGTACCACGCACAGCAAACAGCACCCCTTCTGGGTTAAAGGCAATCTTACTGACATTATTCAGCTTCCCTAAAATGCAAGATCTGGCATCAAAGTTATCCAGGAGATTCTTGGGTGGTAATCCAGCTCTGCCAATGTAATCCTTCACAGCAAACAGGAGGGTATCTGGAAGCCAATAGGAAGAGGTTATAGCCACCATCAGATGCAATTCACAACATGGGATTTTGTTCAAACAGATTGTATTTAGATTTTAAATCTTTAACTGCAGGCTATGCATGGTGTATAAGAAGACCTCTTATTAGGGAGAGAATGGTCACATTAGGAATTCTACCATTACAAGTGAAGCAGACTAGGGTGCAAGTTATTCATTAGAAATGAGGGGTATAAAAATGAAGATCTCTAAACCGCTTTGCACATATTGTTTTATTAGAATATTTTGAAAATCTGCATGATGAGATCCAGGATCAGTAATATCCTGGTAGGAAAGCATTGAAGCATAGTGCATTTGCAGTCAAGTGGCAGAGGAAGCTGAACACTGACCCAGAACAGAGGGAAAGCGGTGCTGAATATATTAGTAATTACAGCTGTCAGGAAATATTGATTTACTTATGCAATGGTGAGTGAGTATTCCCCTAGACATACAGATATATATTTTACAGACTGTCAGTCTTGTGTCCTGCTTTCTTCTGTATTTTTTGTTACGTAGCTAGAGTATTACGCTATACATAACTTGAAAGACAAAATGGTCAGTAGGCCTGATTAGAATAAAAGATACTCAGGCTTTGGAAGGGTTGAACTCACTTTTTAATATTATAATATTTTTCTATTCTTGTGCTCTCGTTTATAAACATCCTGCACTTGAAGAAAATTAAATAAAAATAGCATTTATAACACCTGCAATTCTTAATTGGGTTCCTAAATCTAAGACTGTCTCTTGCATCAGTCAACAAGAGACTAACAGCAAGTTTTATATGAAGTTACTTACGGTTCTGAGGCTTCCATGATTGGATAATGTTTATTTATACACCCCTAGACAAATGGTTTTATATTTCTATACAGACACGATTGTGACGTACCGCCTGGCACCCCAACTGTGTTACCTCAGCCAGTCACGCTTCCTTGTGCTCACAGGACACCATAACCAGCCTTAGCCGCCACAGCTTGTCTTTTGTTGTCCCTTTCCACCCTGGACCAAACACCTGGATCCAGCTCCCAGTGGGAAAACCTCTCCAAGAGAGCAGCGCTGTATAGCCAGTAAAAGAGCAAGTGGTCTAGCAGTATCTGTTCCCCCACACGAGTCCAGACTTAATGCTGGGAGTCCTGATTAGAAGCCAGACACCGCCTTTTATGCAAAGGGTTTCCCATACTAAAAACAGGGCAATCCCTCCCCTGTGCTTGAGAGATTATTCAGTCAGGAACTGTACAAACTCAATTATCTCCAGGCACAAACACATTTTACAGACACCCCAAAAACACAACCCCCCCCTTCCAAAGTCACATCTCTTGATGCCCCGATATGGGTGATTTTTAGGATATGTTGGCCACCCAGGTCGGTTCAGGCTTTCTATGGAAGTCATAGTTTGCCCAGCCACACGAGACTCCTGCCCAAAAATAGTTCCAGGGAAAAGTGGTAGCGGTCAGTCAAGGTTGGTAGTTTGAAAGTGAACAAACTACCAAACGTAGTCAATAGTCATACCATGGAGCTTCTTCCTCTCATCCAGATGAATAAAGCCCTTCCAGGTGGTCTAGAAATGCATGCAGGTGATGATGCAAGTCCAGCGGTGTTCGGACGTTTCAGTGTCAGATTCAGTTCCATGCGCTCAAAGCCCAAACACCTGTGGTCGTTCATACATACAAACTGCGGCCACCCAGACCTACAGTTAGAATCTTTAAAGGAGGTGATGATAGGGCTAAAACAAGCTCCCGGATGGTCCATAATTCATGCATAGGAGAAAAATAAATAAACCCACGCATGAGCAAAGTTTTTTTTAACAGGGTTTTTGCAGGGCCCATAGTCTTTAGGCAGGAACCAGCCAGCCCCTCCAGGCACACATGGCAGAGGCATTTCTGCAACAACGATGTACTATGCATTAAAACCTTTGAATGCCTATTGAGACTACATCTGAGTGGTGTGAGGTCAGTGAGTATTCCCAACAGCTGATTATAGAGATAAAAAGGAAAGCAGAAACTTTGTTGGTGTTTCTAGACCCTGTGGTCATTTCCACCCTAAAACAATGCTTCATTAACCCTTACAGTGTAAGGTGGTGCAAGGAAAACCTAGCGCAGGAACACAGGTGTCCCTTTAACATTTCTTCATAACCAAGATGCTCCATTTATTTTATAGTCTGCCTCTATTTCTAGTGCCATATCATTTAGAAGAAGACTGCCCAACATATTCAATGTAATATGCATCAAGAGAGATAAGCCCACACACTGGGATGGAAGTGAAAGTTACCTTTATAAATAATTCAAATAATTGCTGTATTGACCCTGTGATTGGTGGAGCCTCTTGCTGTTATAGCTTCAGCCTCATTAGAGGTCTGGTTATTGCTTACAAAACCAAAACAATTTGAGCATTTGGCTTCAGCCCTAGTTCAGTTTATAACTAGCAAGGGGAAATACTAAGTGAGCCAGTTCATTAAGACCACAAGCCGAGCATTTTAACCATCCTCTGCAGGTGCATTTAAAAAAAAAAAAAAAAAAAAACCACAGGTACACCCCATCCGGAGTGTCTAAGTCACCCATGGAGAGCAACATTAGACTTAGTGTGCTAAGAACAGTGAGTCTAGCTGGGTAATGAGCCTTCACTATAGATATTTCATGGTATTAAATCCAAATGGCAAAACAAACGCAATAAATAGATTTAGTTTAATTCTCTAGCTGCTAGTTCAGTCTTGGTTTTACCAAGCAGATTTAACCCTGGTCTTACCAAGAACGAGATATTCAAAACAAACATACCAGCTTTTGAATGTAGCTAGTTGATATCCAATTAGTTCCCCCCTCAAGCCAGCAACAAGATCTCAGGGGTGAGAGACCATTATAGATATAATGAACTATTACAGGAGACAAATAGCAGAACATCTAGTTACACAGCCCTCTCACCAAGTGGGAAGAGGTGAGAAAAAAAAAAAAATAAATAAAAAAGAAAACCCCACCTTACACCCCAACTATTTATTAAAGAGGGAAATGGCAGGGTTGTTGAGAAGTTTTAGGTCCCCTTGTAAGAACAGTTGACACAGCTAAAGTTGTTAGAGAATTAGAAATGGGTTTTACTTCTTCTGATCCCAGACAGATTTATTGTAGTTACATTCAGACACAGCAACAGTATGAAGCTCCTAGAAAAGAGTAACACTTGGAGTGTATGTTATAGAGAGAAGCAGCTTAGACACAATGAACAGAAACCACTTACCTGGTGTATCCATTATCACAGAGTCAGCAGAAAACCAGCTACAAATATCCTTCTTGCTTCCTTTTGGGGTCTCTGGCTTGTGCAGATCATGAAATGTAACCCAATATATATGATATAAGTTCAATACCATCAGTGATTAGCTTTATAGTCAGGACCCCTCCCCACACACAGCTGTACCTGCTTTAATGATCAGGAATAAAGTTGATTCTCACAAGGTTATTCACTAAGCACCAAATATTTGCAGATTAAAGCTGAAAGGCAATACAGAGAAAAAAATGGCCAAATTGTGACTACAGGGACTATGTATAACAATTCTCGTTGGTGCAAATGTTCCATTTTATTATTTATAATTGTATAACAGATGGGGATCTACCTTTTGGACACCCTTATGATTGGGGGCAAGACATTTTTGAACCAAGGCGTTCTCTACGTTAGTTCCACCATTGGTTTCAATTCCTCTAATTCCCACTTTAGTAAATAAGAAGCTCTGCAGATTGTCCAAGCTTGTTTTAGATATATCACCAGTGAAAACATTCAGCAAAAATTCATGCATGTTTTCTTTGGCGCACAGCTATTATACAGTGATTTTTACCTCCCTTTTATATCTTGGAGTGTTCCTTTAACCCCTTAAGGACACAACTTCAGAAATAAAAGGGAATCATGACGTAATATTGTATCCTTAAGGGGTTAAAGAAAATGGAAGAAATGATTAGATATACCCTATTAAAAACGTGCTTGCATTTTTAGGAGGATGCAGGCTGGTAAAATGGAGCCCTGTGGACACAGAATCACAGTGACTCATGGGCAGGAGCAGACTGAGAGAGTCCTGGGCCCTGGGGCAAAAGTAGGACCTGGGCCCCCTCCAGATATAGATATATATATACACACTGTTGTAGATGTACCTTGTGCATGTAAAGTGAATGTATGTTTCTGTGCATACTTACTGTAAGTCGTGTTGGGATATTAGGATTCAAAATATATTTGATTGTATGTGCATGTGAAGTTCATGTATGTTTCTGTGTATATTTACTGTAAGTGAATATATGTATGCCTTTGAATCCTAACACGAAATACAGAGTATCTATGAAGGGACACTATAGGCACCCAGACCACTTCCGCTCATTGAAGTGGTCTAGGTACAGTGTCCCAGATCCCTTAACCCTGCAAAGGAGGGGGGCACTTTAGGAAGCTATAGTGCTAGAAAAAAAACAAAACCTTTTTTTTTTCCTGGCACTATAGTTTCCCTTTAAGTAGATAAAAACTGTGGGGTGTTGTACTGGGTGCAGGGGACATGGGGCTGTCATGGGGGCATTGGAATAAAGGCTGAAGTGGGTGCTAGGGCATAGAAACTGTAGTGGTTATAGAGGCTGTAGTCAGGGCAGCGAATAATAGGGGCTATAGTGGGGGTAAGGGGAAATAGTGACTATAGAGGGGGCAGGGGATAATAGAAGCTATAGTGGGGACAAGGGGTAATAGAAGCTACAGTGGAGACAAGGGGTAATAGAAGCTATAGTGGGGACAAGGGATAATAGAAGCTACAGTGGGGACAAGGCATAATAGAAGCTATAGTGGGGACAAGGGGTAATAGAAGCTACAGTAGGGACAAGGGGTAATAGAAGCTACAGTGGAGACAAGGGGTAATAGAAGCTATAGTGGGGACAAGGGGTAATAGAAGCTACAGTGGGGACAAGGGGTAATAGAAGCTACAGTGGGTGCAGGGGAGTGATAGGGACACAGTGTTAGCAGTGTATAGGAGATACGGTCACAGTGTAAGCAGTGTATAGGAGATACGGTCACAGTGTGAGCAGTGTTTAGGAGATACGGTCACAGTGTAAGCAGTGTATAGGCGATAGGGTCACAGTGTGAGCAGTGTTTAGGAGATACGGTCACAGTGTAAGCAGTGTTTAGGCGATAGGGTCACAGTGTGAGCAGTGTATAGGAGATACGGTCACAGTGTAAGCAGTGTATAGGAGATACGGTCACAGTGTGAGCAGTGTTAGGAGATACGGTCACAGTGTAAGCAGTGTTTAGGAGATACGGTCACAGTGTGAGCAGTGTTTAGGAGATACGGTCACAGTGTAAGCAGTGTTTAGGAGATATGGTCACAGTGTGAGCAGTGTTTAGGAGATACGGTCACAGTGTAATCAGTGTTTAGGAGATACGGTCAAAGTGTAAGCAGTGTTTAGGAGATACAGTCACAGTGTAAGCAGTGTTTAGGAGATACGGTCACAGTGTGAGCAGTGTTTCGGCGATACGGTCACAGTGTAAGCAGTGTTTAGGAGATACGGTCACAGTATAAGCAGTGTTTAGGAGATACGGTCACAGTATAAGCAGTGTTTGGGTGATAGGGTCACAGTGTAAGCAGTGTTTAGGAGATACGGTCACAGTGTAAGCAGTGTTTACGAGATACGGTCACAGTGTAGGCAGTGTATAGGAGATACGGTCACAGTGTAAGCAGTGTTTAGGAAATACGGTCACAGTATAAGCAGTGTTTAGGAGATACGGTCACAGTGTAAGCAGTGTTTAGGAGATACGGTCACAGTGTAAGCAGTGTTCAGGAGATACGGTCACAGTGTAAGCTGTGTTTGGGAGATAGGGTCACAGTGTTGTAAGAATATTAAATAGTTAACTTGTTTATATGTATTTTATGCTTTTATAAGGT